GTCTTCCACGGTATAATAAGTTTTTGATCATAATACATCGTGCGGAATATGAAAAAGAAAAATGTACCGTATTTATGGGTTTTATTTTCTTTCACTAGCCTTTTCGATTTTCCAAAGTAGCAATAAACTGACGCCACTGTAATATCGTGTTGGTACACAACGAAACAGATTATAGGCTACTGTAGACAAAACAAATTATTGTTCTATTTAGGTATATAATATAGGTTCATCGTAATTGCATTGTTTTCCTTATTTTATTTCATTTTTATCGTCTTTTTTACTTATATATGTGTATATAATAATATGACATTTCACATTTCCTGGACGTTCCCCTCACGGTGAAACGTCACGTCGAGATGGCGACGAACTTCGAAGAAGATTACTGCCACCATAGTGAAAATGAAAACAACGGCATGCGAGTATCGTACTATATTTTCTATTTCCGTTTTTTATAGGACAAATCTATATGCGTTGTGATGTATAGTGTGATTCACAAATTATCACATTATTATTTTTTTACAATTAAATAATTTATACAATTTATAATTTTTAGAATATTTAAATACACTTAAGGACTGACAATATTTTTCCGATTATTCAAATTTTTATTCTATTTTGGAATGCATAGCATTTAAAGAATGTTCTGCGGATATACAAAATTCTCTTTTATTTAAATAATAATCAACCAACTTAACTATATACTATTGAGCTAATCATTTCTTAGCTTAGTTATTTTTTTCTAAGCATGTTTGATAAATCGCTCAGTAAATGAGTACAAAACTTATTATTATGATCAGTATAGATCAATAGTGATTATCACTAATGAAACTTTTGAGACATCATAACATTACTGTTTTAAATCTGACTTGACATCGTAGTTTGATATTATGTCTTAATTCATATGATTATTTTTTTTTCATTTCTTCAGTTTTTTTTTCCAAATGCGACACATGAAAATTATTATTATGAATGTGAAGACGTTGACAGTGCGAGTGGTACACGTCGCGTTTTAATGATATTATATTATATCAACTACTGTATACTATAATTATATCATTTTAACCTTGGACATTTAACATTGCATTAAAATATACTTGTGAACAACGAATTCAAATTTTGTAATAGAGTTTTTAGTTTGAAAAAAAAATTCATTTCAAATGGGTCGGAGATGAAAAAAAAACATTAAAAATGACGCCTGCAACTCCTACATTATGAATGATTATTTATAATTGTGTTACTCCATGAAACGTAGGAATTAAGTATATAGATATCATTAATATAGAAGATTCAGTACAAATAGAATGAAAACAAAAAACTCATATATATATATAGTTAATAACGCCAACATTATTTTATATACGTCTATATGCATATTATATAATCCAAAATGATTTAACGTTTTCATTCGACGTTTTGAAAACACGCTTATTACTTTTATCATAAATATCCATGTTAATAATATTATACCCTATGGCCAATAGGTAAAAACGCATTTTAATAATACCTATACTTAAAATATACGGTTTCAAAACGGAAATGAATATTATAATGACGGACGATACCTCCACCGTGGTGCAGCATAAGGGGTTTGATGACCTTGGAACATACAGTTGTTTAATAAAACGTTATATTTTTTTTTTTTTGGGAAAACAAGGTCAGATTGAGAGTTAACAGCCCGTTTACATGTTTAAGACCGAAAGTGAATTTCTAATAGCTGTACCGACAGAGCCTTTTATTAACGTGCATATAGGTGCCGTATAATATAATTAAGTATAAACGTGATATACATTGTAGTATAAAATATACAGCCACGGGGTACCACATGTAATGGGTAAGTTTAAATTATAATGTATCTAATATTGTGTGTTTGACAATCGTTTAAATTCTGTGATGCGATCTTAAAAAAAAAAAATCCTGAGCGAAAGCCAATATAATTGGTCATATAATGATAACGCAGAGAAATGATAAAAAAAAAATAATAAATAATAATAATAATATATTCAAAACAATGTGTAAACAGCAACGACGACGACGAGTTAAGCACAAAACGTATTATTTGATAACACAATGTTTTACTTTCTTTTTCCTCTCCTTAGCGCAATTCACACTTCTCGTGATCGCCCAGTGTACACATGCACACACACACGCGCGCTCTCATATATAATACTATGCATGCGCTCTTTCTGTTTAATCCTAAGTTTTTTGCTGAAGTCGAATATACGCCGTTATCATAGAGTACGACTAGAACTCGTAAATTCGTTATTTGAATACTATAATATTGATATTATTGATCTAATAATAATAATAACATTCTTAGTTTCTTACATATATTATTATATTGCACGACTCATTTAAACATTGCCGAAAATTTTAATAACCTATTTACTATTATAATATAATTGTACAATACAATGGCAACGATTGTACGTTGTGGGTAAACAATGCACGTTGACCGTCGAATAATATTCCTACTGAGAAAAGGGGAAAATAATATAGTAACGCGACATGTGGGAAATGAATTTACTGCGTTATACATATGATTGTCAACACAACATATGCATGTGTCTATTGATATTATGCATATACAATATTTGTATAAAACGATGACAATCAATCAGTAATGGTTTCAACAAAATTTCAAGGGGACTGCGATTTTAGTACTATTAAAAAAAAAAAAGTGCCGAAAATTAAAATTTTAGACGTACCTACTTATGTTTTATCCTTTTTATGTTTATTTAAAAATGTTTATAATACTTATATTGTTAATAATATTGATATAAATTATTAATTTTTAATAAGTTAATATTAAAATAAAATATTCAAGTATTTGTAGCGATTACCTATTACAATCGTCGGTATTATTGATTAAATAAAAGAAAATTATATAATATCTAATAAAACAACATAAAAATAAAAATCATTGTGTAAAAAGTAATGTTATATGACTAAAAATACAGAAGTCATTAAATTTAAATTAATTTTTATAAGAAGTTTTTTAATCGTGTTGGGTATTAATTTCATTGACTAGTTGCATCAAATGAATAAATTCTACCAAAACAAACCAACAAATGTAATCAACCATGGATTCGTATTTAAAAACGAATTTTTTATTTCTTGGTTTTAAAATGAAAAAAAAGACATAGGTATTTATATTTGACTTGATTTATTCATTATTTAATAGCGTATAAGAAACATTGAATATATATGTATAAAAATTATTTTAGTAAAAACTACTATATTGGTATTAATAATTACATCATCCATAAGTAATTATCATAAAATTGGTAAAAAAAAAAAATATAATTAATATTTTATTCATTTATTATAACATTAAATACTTGTAATACATTGATGGAAATACTAATTATAGTAATCAATATTATTGTTTTATTTTTATTATTATTCGAAGAAATAAGTTTTGAGAGCATAGCCAATAAGCGTTGTTACATTTAGTTAAAATATTATCGCAATATTTATATACACAGTTAATACGTTGATATATAATACATCTAAATATTACATGCTTGGTAAAAGCTGTAAAAGTATTAAGCTTAATAATAATAAATTAAGTTTCTAAGTTTTTTAACATACCTTATCAAAATAATATGAGTTGTATTTAAATAATAATATATAATAATATAAACACTATAGAAAGTAATCATATATTGTATTATTATCGTTTAACGAATTTAATATTTTTTCATATTTTTTAAATGCTTTTTTGTATTTAAAGAGCAAAAACTTAACAAAAATGTAGTAAATTCAAAACAAATTTATAAAAATGAATAAAATATTTCAGAAGATGATTTATTAATACAAAAATTAACTGTGAAATTGTATTACTGAATTTATTTTCATGTATTTAAAAATATAATCAATCAAAAAATATAACATAATATATATATATTGTAAATCGTTTATAATCATTAAACAAAATAACATTTTTTTTTTTTTTTTATTAGCTTAGTATAATGTATAAAATAATAATTAAAAAATCTACATATTTAAGTAGAAGGAATTTTGGGAAAAATAATATGAAATATGAAATACAAATTTAACCGATTCTAATATTTTAAACACGAAAATATTAAGAACTATTTTTTATTTATCTACTGATAATTTAATTTATAGATAATATAATACTTAATATTTGATAATAAACTTTAAAGAAATATAATTTAATAATTAATAATATTACACACTAATTCAATTATTTAAATTTAAATAGAAAATTACAATTTATTAGAAAAAAAAATCATTTTAATTGTTTTGGGTATTATCATTAACTATGCTCGCAAAAAGTGTCTAAAAATACTGTTGAGTTTTTGTAGATATTTAAATACCTAATTTATAGTTACCAAATTATATCTGAAATATTATCATATTATTATACTTTACTGATCATCAATAATATACATAGGTAATAAATCGGTATTTTTTTCATCGTTAGTAATATGATATTATCAAGAGTATTTAACAACGATATTTTTTCTGTGTATCAGCATCAAAGAGCCTAACAAATTTTAATTTTTCAATGTTTTTAGTATTAATTTGTATATCAATATTAATTGGTACCTATTGAATATTATTGATTTGTATATAAATTATATAATTAAATATAATAAAAAGAAAGAAAAATAATTATCATTACTTTAAATAATATACATATTAAATATATTTTGTTTTATTTTATTTTAGGTTAAGTTTAAACTAAACCACTGCATTTTATTATCCTATAATAACACAATCATTAATAATGATAAAAATATATTTTTTACCTATAGAATTATATAAAATACTCTTATGACGTTTTCAAAGTAAAAAACTACCACAAACTTTGTAGCCTAGCATTCAAGTCTCGAGCATACCTTAATACTACACATTTTTACTATAGATATAAACACATGGACTATATTTTTTTTATTAAAATTAACTTAAGCAAAAATAATAAAAACAAAAATAGAAGAGTGAAAAAAATTGAAAATCTAAAACTCATTTACCTGTATATTCGGCGGCTGGTGGTTGCACTTGAACCCTGCTGCGATAGATTTTTCTTCTTTAGAACAAAAATCAGTTCGGATCCAATGTCGAGTGTATAATATAATATTATTTTATTCTATGAAATATGACAAATGCGATTTCATGTATGTCTGTGTGGTGAAAAAAGCTCTTTCGTAGGAGACTTAGGCGGACGGGTGGGCTTATGTCTAAGCGAGTGTGTGTGTGGTGAGTGTACACGCGCGGATAATGTCTAAATAGTGACTGCACAAGAAATTAAACCTCCGACGTCGACGTCGTTGCGGTCCGTTCATTTCGCCGGGCGAACGTGTGTTCTCGCCGCCGCCGTCCTTACCACCGACCGGTCGTTCTTGCGGGAATAACAACAGTTTTATGTACATCGCTATAAAAACGAACAGTTTTCGCCGTTTAATCGGCAGATTATCGGTTTAGGCGCGAGTTCTGTAGTTCCCATTTTTTTTTTTTATTTTTAAGAATTTTCAACATGTTTAAAACGCACCTCATATATTTCAATTACGTTTCGTTTCGAATAATAAACTATACAATTGCGTTATAAATCGATTTTACGAAATTATTCGCACGAGAGCACAATTTCGAGGTTGGTGAATAAACATATCAAGCAACTGACTGTTGATAATATGTCCAATAAATCATTGCTATTCCAATAATGATAATTATTAATAAATTTAAAAATAATATATTTATAAAATAATCATAGAACCTATAACATTTGAATATTTTTATATAAATTGAACAAATTTTAATAAACTATTCAGATTCAATTTTTTATAAAAATGATGTATAAATATATTTATTACTGGGTCTAACGTACGTTTTATCGTATATAAAAATGAAATCCTATATAGCTATATAGATTAATGTTGTTTTTTTTTTTTTTTTTTTATACTGAACCAGTAGTGAATATTTTTACAGTATTATAAATGTAAAAAGAAAATAGATAAATAATAATATTTGTATAATTTAAAACATATTGTAACTATAGTTCATAACATTATATTATTTATATATTAAATGAAGAATATTTTTTTATATATACAAAATAATCATAAATTATAAAATACAATATTAGAATATTATAATTAACATAGTTATAAACATATTTTAAGCTAAATTCTTGTGTTAGAGGTACAGAGTAAAAATTAATAATCAATAAATTACCTAATGCTATTAAAAATAAAAAACAGCAAAAAAAAAATAAAAAATATACAATACAATTAAACGAAAAATATCACAAAAAGTAAAATAAACATTGATATTAATAAATTAAAAATTTGCGAAAACAACCAATCATAAAAAAAAAAAATTTAACATTACTCTTAGAATCGTGAATATAGTTACTTTATTATATAAAACATGTTCTCTAGAAACATAGATTATAGAAATAACAAATTAATCAATTTTACTAAAGACGTTCTATATGATAAATTGAAATATACATACGTCATAAATACATTAAACGGTAAAACCTTCTTTAAACCTACTAAGATTCTAAGTGCTATAGTTAGTAAAATTGTTCCATACAAAAATATAACTCTAGTAGTTTTTTCTAATAGCTATAAAGTTTTAAAACAATTTACAAACTTGATAAAGTTTTTAAAAAATGTAAAAAAATAACTGAATCATATTTAAAAAAAAAAAAAAACTGTAGCCCATAATGTACTTGGGATATGCTCCGTTTCAATTTTTGAATTTTAATAAAACGATTTGTTTGTTCTTTTACAATAAACATATTCTGTATGAACGTCATCAAGTATGACAAATATAACTATAATTTATACGATACCTATTAATCATGTTAGAAGTCTGCTAAGATTCAATAAATTATAATTATAATATCTTAACTTATTGCATTTGACCAGGAAATTTTTTTTAAATTTAATAATATTAGACATATGTTTCTCAAGGTTTATAATATGAGTTTTATTATCCACTGTAATCATAAATATTTTGGTATTAAATTTATAGGAATTTCAACAATAGAAAAAGAAGTAAATAATTTATATGTATTTTAAAGTGATAAATAAAATGAGCAATAAATAAACAGTTTGGTTAGAAAACATTTCATAGCTTCGCAATCCGTAATGTTGTATATTTAAAAAAAAAATAATTATACGCCTGCATTATTTTATAACTGTTTTTATTAATGTAATGCTATATTTTTTCATTTAATTTTACGAACGTGAATTAGTTTACGGTTGAGTAAAGATGATTACAATTTTGATTGTGTTAAATGTTTCGAAATTAAGTTAAACGTGCAGTTTTTAACATTTATCAAATGCACACAAGACGTGAAAAATGTTCAGAGACGATGAGTTTTACTTTTAATTTTTTAAATGTTTATGTGGTAAACTGACAAATGACAACTATAGCCAAGTATTTATATTATAAAATTTAATTTTAAATAGTCATGTAAAAATAAATTATTTATACATATATATAGGTATATAGATATGTCAAAAAGTTTATATAATATGATAAAATTCTTCGGCTTATTTAGTTTTTATATTAAACAAATTTACCAGATGATGGAAATGTAGAGAAATAAAATCATCCTAAAATGTTCTTGTAAATAACACATATACGTGTGTATGTAATATATTTACTCGGTTAAATTGCTTCAAGGTGGAAAACATAAATATAAATATTATTTAATATTTCGAAACATACGTTAAACGTGACGGTCATTATTCATATCAGGTAAGTGTGAATCGTGTAAAAACGTCTCGTAGATAATCAAAAAATGTAAAATATTTTAATTATTGTTACACATAATATGTGTAATTAGAATTTCTAATAATGTATTCAGGTTCAGCACAACAGTGTACTAAAAATAAAGTAGATATTTCATATCAGAATAAAATAAATTATTACTCAATAAAGTAAGATTAATGTTTTTAATTTTTTATGTTTTATTCCAAATCGATAAATATTACAAAAATTATTAGATTTACAATTAAAAATATAAAAAAAAAAAAATGACATAACAGTCACCTGTAAATAAATCCAGCTACAAGCTTTTTTTTGTTGAAAGTTAAATTAAAACGGTCAATAAAATAAAATGTTATACATTTTAAATTCTAAATCATACGAAGTACAATATTTATTGTTTTAGTTAACGTTTTAAATCGAGAGCATTGAAAATTATTATTAAAATTTCAATAATTATTATGCTATTTTAGTGCTCATAAAATATTATGACATCGAGTGCTTCTACTCACTTTATCATGACTTTTAACATAATCGTTTTAATCATATCATGGAGAAATTGTTTATTAATTGGGTAATATTAATTTTGTTCTATAAAAATTAATTTATTTTCTGATACCTCCTAGTAATTCATTATTTAATAATTTGATAAATTTATTCTGAAATTGATGTTGGTTATTAATTGGTATACCATTATATTATTTCATACGTTATGTTGGTTTTTATTTTAAACTGTAAAATAAATACAATTGTTCAGTGTCTACTGCAAAGGAATAGACCGCTACAAAAAATGTATGCATTTTTTATGACCAAATTAAAATAGTAGGATACAGACATAAAATTACGTAATAATATAATAATATAATAATATAAATATTTTATTTATTTTCTATATTAAAGTGTCATATTTAATTACAATTTAGGTAAAAATTTAAATAAATAACATATTTCTTTTAAAATGTGTAATTATCTATGTTCTATTATATATTATACAAATTAGTAGCATACGCAGAATTTTAGTTTGATTAGGGTTTTTACTATGGATTGATCAGACACCCATGGCCTATGAGGTCTCTGCCTCCCCCAATACTCTATAGCTAAACAAATAAATATCACCAACATTTTATAACACAAAATAGTTCTTTTAAGTTCCTATTTTTGTATTAATTGTCTTCCATAAAAATAAAAAATATTTGAAAATAACATATTATATAATATATACCTAAAAAAAAAAAAATAATAATAAAATTTCTAAGCAATATTCATACAGTTATAAAAGTAATTATTTTTTAAATTATATTTTTTTACTTAACTTATAATAAATTCTTGTTCAAAAGACCATAAACAATAGACATATTATTTAACATATAAAAAACATTTTGGGAGAAGGAAGACATTTTGGAGAGGGTTAAAACCCTAGAACTCTATCCCTGTGTATGTCACTAAATCGTATAGAATGCATGTAAATAATATTAAACAAGCTTAAAACGTATTAATAATATTATGATTGCAAGTCATACACGTCAATTGGAATAAATATTAAATTACTCGTATATGTATTATTAACGTTGTAAACGCTGTTAAAAATGAATTGTGCTATCACAAATAATTGTCTTATTGTTTTCAATATATGTTCTTATATAATATATTATACCCATGTATTAATATTAAAATATATATATATATATTTATATAGATAGTCGATTGATAGAAATATGAAATAGTTAATACTGAATAGTGAACAATTACTATCATGCAAGTTAATAAAAAATGAAAGTACGAATTAATCAATATTGTACCAGCCGTTTAAAATTAAATGTTTTATTATGGTGTTTCAGTATAAAATTAAAAACAATACTGTGTTAAATGTCATGTCTATAAAAATAAACGTAAAGAGGCTGCAAATAGATTATAATTACTAGTATCTGGCATACAGATAATATAATGATAATTTATACGCATAATATTTGAATCATCTATTGTCACAAACAAAGAAGGAATACTCTGAGTCTCCGAATACACTATAACTACAATTTACACATTCCTAAACATAATTAAAAAATAACAACAGAATATTATAGCAATATTCTATATAAAATTTATAATATATTATAATTTAATCAGTTAATTTTATCTAGTATCTAATTAAACTTTATGAACACAATCATTTAAAGTAGATATTAGTATTTACATATAATTAAAATAAACTAGTTATTATTTTACGTATATTGTGTAAAAAATCTATTAAATAGTTTTTAATTTTATTTATATTAAACAGTTGTAAGTTGTGACTTATAATGAATATCTTGCAATTATAATAATTAATAGTTCATACATCACGATTCGACGACCAATATTACAACATACGATTATATATGATACATCTACGATTGTATATTATGCGACAGTGGTAAATAAGTAATAATTTATAAATAAAGACAATTAATAATACAATACTTTATTATATAGGTACCTAAACTTAAAATAATATTAAAATCGCATTAT